TCTTAACACTGCGCGACAGGACTTCGTCAGGTGCTTAATGGAAAAACAAAGAGGAAGACGACAGAAAGAAGCAGAAGGAACGACAATTTGATAGTGGGATTAGATGTAGTAAGAGTGGAATGAAGAGAGAAAGGAAAGGGAAGAAAAAGATTTTAAAAGAGAAAGTTTTTTTTTTAAAAAGTTTGTTAAACTTCCCCTTCCAAATAGACCCGGTGCTAAGTGAAGCAAGTAGCTAATTGTATCTTCGCTTTAGGCACTCATTAAGCTTACTGCAAGAAGTTCTTGGGACGTTAAAGTTCGCGGTTATGTTTGTTTTTCTTTTAACCCTTATGCATTGCATTCTGTTCGGTGAAGCTCTTGAATCCCAAATTTATGAGTTTTTTTTTTGCAAAGTCACGAGCGTCTTTTTTCTCTGCATTTTCCCATATTCTCTAGTGCATTTTTCTAAATTATATGATTTTAAACTGAAGAATAATTTAAATTAAATCCCTGCATTAGTTGTTTAACTGCTGTTGGTGATCTTGGTAATTTACTACTGGTCATTTGTGCAGGTGTTGGTACCGAAAAAAAGCGGCTAGAAAATAAATGTTATATTTTAATTTCGAAAAATTTTCCGAAAACTCTTTACTGTAATTTTTAGGATCCTCATTTTTATTCTTCGAGCTCTTCTCGTTCCTCGAAAGACTCACGAACCTATGTGCAATTGAATCGTGCTCAGAGGTGATAGCTCTTTTTTTTTGTAATTTTTACGAATTTTGAAATTGCTGTATGGTTGATTTCAGGATTGTTGATCGTTGCGAGACGTTCTGCATTTTTCTGGAGGATATAACACCGGAAGAGATTTTAAATTACAGATTTTTTATAATAGTAAAATGTATAAAATACCCAAACAACATGTTGGCAAAAATCACTTTTGCACAGTTTTTTTTTCCCGACCACTGTGAGAAATCGATGCGCATGCAGAAAGTAAACATCACAAATTTTCAAAAAACCTGGCTGGAGCGCGTTTTTTCACACATTTCCTCCTTTTAACATTATTCATTCTGTTGCTAAAATGTACAGAAGAATGTTAAGTATTCCATAAATGAACTTTTTCGTTTGTTTCTAGCTGAAAAAAAAAACGTTGTGTTACGACTAAATTTGCCCAAAATCTGGCTAAATTTTGCTCGAGTTTTACATGTTTGGGCGTTATTGAGAAGTAAAAATACCTCCTCTCACCTCTTCTTTTTTTCGCTTTTTTCGAGAGGCAGAAATACTCCGAAGTGGCCGAAGTAGTAAAAATCCTGCTAAGAGAATTAGCCTTTGATGTTGGATGTTTCCCCAGCATCTTACAAAGTTTTTTGGTTCTTGGCAGTACTCAAACTCAGTTTCATTTTGAAAAATCACTGGAACTGTGTGCAATTACAGGCACTTTTTGATTATGCTTCAATGAAAATGACATTTTGAACTCAGAAAGAGGAAAACATGAGAATTTTCTCGGCTCCAGAGTTTTCTTCCATATTCCTACTACTGATTTCAGCATTCGTGATACGATATCAAACGGTACAGCGAAGT